ATTTTTTCGTCAATAATGGTTTATGGCTCTGAAGATGTCCGTCCCATGACGGACGAAAACTCAGCACAGAGTTACTAGGATTTGGTCAGAGTGCCTATAGATTGCAAGATGAGGTACATTCAAATTCTTTATATAATTTAAATATATATGTCATATGCGATCATAGACAACTTCTATAACCTTGACCTTATTTGCCCCCCAAAGATATTTTTAGAAAACCAAGCAATTTGTCGCCAAAGCAAATATGCTCTTCAATCCTATAGCTCAAGCGAGGCTGTCTAGCCATTAACGCCTCGGATTGCGCAATGAATGATGTTTTCAATCTAATCATAATCTCGCTTAGGTTAAATCCTAGTGATGCCTTGGGTATTACAAGAGTATAAAAATCCCAGATTTTATCAAGGTCAATTGTTCCGATGAAATTAGGAAGGCATGCAGACCATACATAGTTCGGCTATCCCGGCGGCAAAGGCGAACGTAAAACTGCGTGACCAAAGTTGAGTACCAAATTGCATGCGTTAGTGAAGTCTTGTGATAAACGACAACTTTGTAGTGTACAACGAAATACTCTTCGGTTAATACATTATGAACGACGAGCAACCAGTTACAGCAAGAGCATGCGGACATCGTTGGACCACTGACATGATAAATTTTGATGGTGGCTGAGCTGACGGGAAAGTATTAGCTGAATCTGAAGGCACAAACCTTTAGTGCAGGTTGCATCGCGGGATTAGGCGTACCAGCCTGTAGTACAACGGACCACGGAAAGCATAATGAGCTCACAATATTCGTCCAACTTAAAATATTCTTGAACGCACAGCGGATTTTTAAGTATTTTAATCGCTATTCTAGTGACTTGACAGAAGGCACTCTTGACATCTCTTTCTTTGTCACGCCCAAGTAGACCGAAAGCGTTATCCTGTGAACTTAGTCCCTTATGAAAGCTGATAGAGATACAAACCTGAAGTTCGCATTTTGAAGGAAATGCTGTCATAGCATTAGCGATTTGAATTTTTCTTGTTCCAACTAGGATGGCTTTAGCCATACTTCTATAGCCAGGATATCCTAAGGCCCTTAACCGCGATTACGTATACTTAAATGTCAATTGTTGATTTAGGTATTCGCTACCTAATGCATGCTTGGTTGGGCGTTACAACGCCCTAAAAGGAATATTATGGAGAAGAAACAAAGGCTTGAGAGATATCATTAATCAACCCATTCAGACACTTATTCCATAAAGTTCGGAGTAGCTTTTGATAATATACGCGTCAGGGCATCGATAGTGAGTGTAGCGTAGCAACCCTGTTTTTTCACCTCTATGATTGCATACACAAACAAAGCGTTTTTACTTAGCCTATATTCAAGCAGCAAAAGCAACAATTAGTGAAGGGTTGAATGAAAAAATAAACCTACTAAATGAATCACAAGCATGGTAACTAATTAAAATAGATTGTGAAGAGGACCTTGCTTACCACGATTGGCAACAGAGCTCTCGGAAATATTCGCAGAAGCCCAGGCCTCAACTCTAGTCCCGGGGGCTGAAGCCCAACCGTTGGCTGAAACAGGACCAGGCGGTTGGTGTTGTGAATGCAATGGATGGTCAGAAGTACCCCAAGAGGGCCCGTCGTGAGAAAGTGAAGCGTGAGCCCCGTTTGTGGGACCTGAGGGTGAATTCCCAAGCCCTAAGTTAGCATGTCCACCCCAGGGCGCTAGCTAAAAAAATAGGAAATTAATAATTCCGTTTACAAAAATAGAACAAAATTAATCAGTCCTTTTGGACTGATAGGGCCATACAAATATAATAAAGAGCAAATAGCCCATAAATATGACAGCCTAATTCCCAACAAATTAAGGAAATTAATTATTTAATGTAAGGCCGATAGACATAATGGGCTTTAGAGGTTGAGAAAAAGGCTGGGAATTTTCCCAGGTATTCGAAAACCGCACCCTAAAGTAACGCAAAAAGTGGTAGCCTAAACAGACACACAGCGTGTCGACTTTGGAAGAGATTGAAGCCGCCTGACATATATAATGCATGATACACTAAGAGTAGGTAAATAGCGTATACTATGTTATATAGTATAATAAATAGTATAACAATA